CTTACTAAAATTGTTGGATGAGTTCATTTTTTACCTCCATCCTCTCAGAGACAACCAGCTCCTTTTCCGGTCCAAAAAAGAAAAGAATTATGCTATCAAAAAAAAAAAAAAAATCAACTTCTGTTTATACTTGGAGTTTGAGGAGAAGAAGGGGAAAAAAAGGAATTATGCAAATGGAACCAGCATTTATGCCTTTTTATTTAATGCCTCGGCGCTAACTAGGTCTCATTTCCAAGTCAACTACTCATTCAAAAATTTCACAGGGACTGGATTTGGGCGGAGAAGGACTATTTGTGAGGATCAGGGAGAGGACTCTTGCATGTGTTAAAAGGGATTATCCTCAAGCTTTGTATTTCCAAGGGAGGAAAGGGCTATTAGAGAGGCGTGCTGACTCTACGTTGCAGTAAGAAGCAGCAAGGACCATCACTAGCTGCCCTCCTAGGCAGCGTGGTTCCCCCACGTTGTGTTATCAGGGACTCACCTGCCTGTGCTGTTTTTAGCTTCTGCTATAGATAGACCTAGCCACTCAAAGGCACGTCCGTTCTCCTCACCAGCATCCGCTCATTTACTAAAAGCAAACCTCCTGCAAATCCTGCTCTTCAATAGGCAAGCGAGTGCTCCAGAAGATAATTCAGCTTCGACATTTACTGGCAGCAAAGAGTCCTTGAGCAGCGAGGGGATGATTAATTGTCATCTAACCCTGCCTGCCTTTAACTTCCAGGCTCCTTCCTGCTGCCTGTGCTCTGCACTCCAGGGAAGGGCCTGAAGGGAACCTGGATAAATGGGAATTCCCATTTGACACTTCCTTTCCTTAAATCTTTTCCCCTTAGACTTTAGGAATAAGAGGCTACACACATATTTGCACATAGGTTAATACTATAAGGAGGTATATCTATTTGATTCTGTTTCAGTGTTTGATGTATTAATATTTTGAGCCTTAACTCTGTAACAATACAAGTGGTCTGTGAAATTTTCTTTAAGGCAGAAATGGCATCACAGTAGTATTGCACATGGTAAATTCTCAGTACAGGAATCTGGATCAAAAAATATGACCCTCTAACTTTAACTCAGTCTCCCCTGAGTTGAGACCAAGAATTAGAAGTTTGAGCTGAAGTGCATCATTGAAAGTTACAAAAAAAGTGAAAAGTCTTCACCTAGCACACATCTTGACAGTCGTATGAAAGGTTGCATAGCTGATTACTTTTTTTAGTACAGACTAGACCATAAGCATCTTGCACGTTAGTGAGCACTTATACACAGTGAGTGGTAGAATTAAAAACACTCTTCTCTGTTTTCATGAAGATTACTCACAAAAGTACCAGTTAAGAGTGACAGCCTACCCAGCCTCTCCTTGAAACAGAAAAAGCCCCAGGAGGCAGCAGGCACTGTAAAACCCCGGAGCTCTTTTAGTAGAGGAACAAGTAGGCCCTTTGTTCTCCAGACCTTTCCCTTCTCACGGGTACATCTAAGGCTTTATGTCCCATCTGAACTTCAACAGTGTTTGCAATAGTATAGTTTCACAAGTTACAACTTCCAGTGAACGAGAAATCCTTTGAATAAATCTTACTGATTTAAGCATTAATGGGGTAGTTGAACGTAAAAGATCTAACTTACAATAGCCTTAGTCTGCCTGCAATGTAAATAACGATCTAGAGGCTCCACTATCTTCATATAAATGGCACCCCTTAAAATAAAAGAGTGGGTACAAGTAGTACTGTGTTTTGTGATGGAGATTCACAGGATTAGGAACGTTGAATGTCATGGTTTTGGGACCGTGACAGTCAGTCTGGAGGCCACAGCTTTCTCCATGGCTCAGAGGACCATGAGCCAGCCAAGAGCAGTGCTGGATTTCCCTCCTTCCTCCCTTTCTCCTGAAGTAAACAAGCCAAAGGGCTTCTGTGTGAGTCCTGGGTGTTTTAGTGGAGCAAGATCGTTCAGCCTCAGATCTTCTGGGTGAGCCGTATTAAAAAGACTTGAAAATGTGTCCTTTGAACCATGGTGTGTCCCCTCCCCATCTCTCTGAATTCTAAAAGCAACTCACAGTTGGGTTTTGTGCTAACCGAGCACAGGGGGACCCGGGAAAGTAGATATGAAAACTCACTTTTCCATGACCTCTGAAGCATGGTTGTGGGCCTGTCTTCTGCAGAGATGGGTTCCCCACTTTGACCGGAGTTTCTCTCCCCTCTTCATACTTGCTCCCCTCTTGCTGACTCCCTTTCTCCTCACCTTGCCAGCAAGTCCATTCTGCTGGTCCTTCCACAGGAGCCATGGTCCAACCGACCCCCCTGCCACAAGGTCCGGCATGACCAAAGCTGAGCAGCTGGGGAGGAGGTAAACAGGCAGCTTTTCTCCCTGCTTCCCACTGACACGACTTTTTCACAGGTACACAACATGCAATATTCCCACGTTGAATCATAGACAAGTTAAAAATAATTCTGTCACGGGGATACTACTTCATACTCATACTGGCGTTCTCCATTTTCATAGACATGTAGCACAAGATTAAAATATATCAAGACTTGTACAACAGCCAAAATCTTTCAGACACCTTTCCCCTCCTTTGCCATAAAGGAGGGGAAGAAACCTACACACTGGTGTAATCAGTCTATGCAGGTAGAGTAAACCATGTAGTACAAAGATGTCTGCTGGCCTAAGTAAGCTATTCTGAAATGGCTTACAAATGAGATTTGTCAGGGTTCTGGGGTCAGCTCTTGCCTTAGCTCCAAAGCGTTTTAAATTTGTTATATCAGTGAAAAAAAAACCATAAAATGTTCCTTTCAGATATGCATTCGGGAACCTATTTTTTACATATTTCACAAGAGCCGCCTATGTATTCGAGCTTCTGAGCTTTCCAAGGTCTTGCCCTTGAGCGAGCCATAATTTATAAAAATCCAGTTCGGTGCTGGGCAAGGAATGGAAGGGGACCCTGGGATCGAAGGGCTGCAACCCTGAGAGCTGGAAGTACTCATCTGATGGTTTGCAGCTGATTGCTTATATTAAACATTAGATTTCCTTCATTAAGTGAATAGAAAATCATTTAAGTCGTTAGAACAAGGTGTTAACTATAGCACTGACGCTCTCCTCTTTAATAACCATCCCTCCCTCCTGGGATGGCCCACCACCCAAGAATTTAGCATAGTGCTGCTCTTCAGTGCAAATTTAGGATTTACCAGCCCATCCTCCCATTTCCCTGGTGAGAGAGCTCCACATTGTGGGGGGAAGGTGCACGGTGAGCAACAGAAATAAGGGATGCTGAAAAGAGACAGCATTACGCAAAATTGACTCTGCTACTTCACCAATCAGTTTTTCACAGTGGGAGTGTCAGGCAAAAACTCTTTTTTGTCAAAGGGGATAGACTTACGATAACAACATGGTTTTACTCCACTCTTCCCAAGCATGTCAATGCTGTTAGAGAAGGTTACAGCACAGAAATGGGGAAAGGGAGAGTCATCCCAGTACAACCAGCTATTTAAATATATACTTAGCTAAACTGATGGTTAAGTTTAGATGTCTTGGAATCAGAGGCACAGATCAGCATCCGGAAACAACTAAATCTGAAGCTAGTAAATGTTTTCATCTTGCTGAAGCGGTGATTTACTTAGAAAGTGCATGCACTAGAATCTTCTCTGCTGTCGTTTCACACCCATTTAGGTTCTCAGTTAATTTTAAACATTAAAATCTAAACTGGCTGATTGTAAGGAACATGCTTACCTTCCTTATTTTTAAGAAAGGTAGTAAAGAAGACACTCTCTATCAGTGACCTGAAATGCAGAACATGAGAACCAGAGTGCCATGACCTTTGAAAATGAGATTGCTGAGTACCACGAAATTTTGTGGGAAATGATTGGGTGACATTTTGTCGTGCCAATTTTGTACTTGGCAAAAATTTTCAATAAAAAAAAAAATTCTTCCACCCTGTTAGTGACAGTGGTCAGCTTATTCCCTGTGACATCTTTTCTCTTGAGGCCAAATTCTGCCACCCCTGGGCAGTGCACAGTTTTTAACCTCAGAATCACCCCCTCTCATTGCCATTGCTGAACTACACATTTCCTCGCTGCTTTTGAGTCTTACTTCTTTTGCAGTTGCCAATCTAATCATCTTTTTCCTGCTCACAGTGCTTTCCTTCCCTTACCATTGACAAGGTAGCCACCATCTTTCTCACTGTCCTTTAATCTTCCATGTTTTTACTCCATCGAAACTTATCAAATGATAAGGCTCTCTCCTTCCTGCTCTGACACTGCAGCTTGGGCCCGTCTCCTCGTCACTTCACAGCGTGCTTAGATGCTGAAAAACAGATACTGAGGCAGCATCTTACAAATAAGACAAACATTTAACAAAAGAAAAGGCTTATATGAGGAAGATTTGCCTCTTAAGCTGCTTAAATCGGAGATTCAATATAATGTTACGTTTTCTTCCAAAGCTCTTAAAGGATGATAGCTTTAAAACTATCCACAAATCAGTTGACTTTCACAGCTATTTAATTTAATACTATAGACTAGCAATCTACGCAGAGATGGAGACTCCGTCCTTCTTGACAAGAAAAGCGTAGGGGCCTCGGCAAGGGAGGTGGGGGGGGGGGGGGGATGGATGAGCCCTCGTGCCAAATTTTCCTTGAGCTACTCTGCCAATTCAGAGAGCGACAAGGCATAGCCGCGCCCAAAGGGCACCTCCTTTCCTGTCATGGTGTCAGTGGGGCTGCCGTGTGGGCAATGGGGTAGTAGGCTTCCTAGCAGCACAGTGCCCCTCCTCACCCCTTCTTTCTATCTGCGTCCTGCCTCTGGGATGAGGAGGGAGACTGGGTGATACCTACCTCTGTGGGGTCCTCCTCTGGGGGTAGCAAGGGAGGACATGGCAGGGCTCCTCCAGGTCGGGGTACGCTGCTCGCTGGTGCAGTGATTGCCATGGCTGGCAGCTGGTGTCTGTTGAGTGGGTCCCTGGGTAGGCAGTACTCAGAGGAGCTTCATCTGACTAGTAAATTCCTGTATCTTTATGTTTTGCAGCAAGAGATGCCAGTCCATGATGACACCGGCAAGAAAGACACTCAGACTCTGTAACGTGTCATATAAAACCCTATTTATTAAATCTAACACTGTAAAGAAAGAGAGAATCATGTAGATAATCTTACATCCCTTTAGATGTTGGAAATTCCGAGTCACTCAGCATCGAACAGGCCTCTGATCCCCATGCAGCACGCTGCAGGCCCCGTGAGCTGGCACAGGCAGGACACAGGAACAACCACAAAGCCACCGATGAAATGCAAAGGGTAAATTTATTCTTGTTACCTCATGACCTGAGGGATCTCTGCAGCAGCATCTGGGCAGAGGCACACAAGCGGGGATGGAGGCACCATGGAGCTCAGTCCTTGCTGGTCAGAAAAAGGAGAAGAAAAAAAAGATCTCGAACCTGCTGCTTTTGCCTGTATATATCAGGGATTTTCACAGGCGTACTTCCACTGTGCTTTGATCTTTCCCACAGCAGGGCAGGAATCTCAAGGATGTTCGATAAGGTGCCTCAGAGTCTGTCACATGTTATCTAAATGTAGACATCCTACCAGTCAAGCACATGAAGCTAAACAACAATTAGTGTGATATATGTGTTTTTCAACACTCCAGCTGCAAGTCACTCGAGTGTGTTTGCAATCTTCCTTGCCAATCTTCTGTTGTATTCCCACACTCTCCGTGGAGAAGGTTACACCATTTTGATCATTCAAGCTACTATGGGATTTCCTTACAAACGAACAACTCTATCCATCATCTCTACTGTCAAACAGAAAGGGTGCTCGCATGAGAACTTCTTGCTGCACTGCTCGATGAGGGCAAGGACGAGGTTGGTGTAAGCACCGGTACTGAGTGGGAGCTGTTGCCGTGGGCTGGCACGGGTGGGTTGTCCTGCAGCCAAGGGGTTATGTCCAGCATGGCACAAGCCTGAAGGCCAACCTGCACGTGCAGCAGAGCACAGACCTGGGCCTATTCTGCTTGGACGTTATGTGGCTCACTGGCTCTTCAGCGCACGGTGATCTGCTGCTCAGGACCACTACCCCTTGCCCAACTCCAGATGAAGGGTCCAAGGAGCTGGGGAGCAGAGGTTGCTCTATGTGAAGGGGACCTGACAGGCTGCTGTCTGCCTCTGCATGCTGACCACAGCTTCCTGCGGGCTTTGGAGGTCAGCCAGGAGCAGCAGGAGGAACCACGGGGACGATCCCCCATGTGCAGCCCGGGAGCCAGTGGGTAAGCTGTGGGGGACAGACCCGGGCTCAGCCTGGGGAGAAGGCTTCGTGGTACTCGGCACCAGGCTCTGGAAGACCTGAGCGAAGTGCCGGGGAGCAGCAGCAGCAAAGAGACTCCAGAAGGGATGGCAAACCAGGAGCGGAGGGTCACCACAGCGCAGGCAGTGCCTTCACCGACAGGGCATGGTCCCCGAGCTGGGCAAGCGGGGCAGGGCGGTGACAAGCAAAGGCAAGGGGACAAGTCAGGGCTGAGGTGAGCCTTGGAGATGCAGACAACGGCTCAGGGATGTCGGGGACGTGGCTGGGAGCGCACACCGGCTCCGACACAGCTTACACCCTGGCCCGAGCTTCCATGGAGCTCCTGCATCCCTTGGCAGAGGGTGCGGGTGGGGGTCCCAGCTGAGGCTGGGCAGGGCAGGTCCTACCCACAGGGGCCCTCACAGGCCTGACGGCAACTGTCCTACAGGGCATTCGGTCGTTGAAGAAAACGACAGCCCCCCTCCATCCGGACCCCTAAGTCATCTGTCATCTTTCAACTACTCCAAGAAGCTGAGGACTTCTGCCTCATAGTAGCCTCCTTCCTGACTTCTACCCGTCTTGTATGGCTAGTGTGATTCACAGCTTTATGATAAAATATTGCTGTATCAGCATGTACATTCACTAGAGGGACGTATTAAAATCGCGCGGGAAGGGTGAATTTGGGCGTTTCCTGCCTGAACCATCATTGAAAACATATTTTGTGTTTAACCCCCATGGGCCAGCTAAAATAACCAGATTCTCAAACTAACTGACTATAAAAATACACATGCTGCAGTTAAGGTGCTGATTCAGTTTGCAAGTATTTCTTATACTGAAGAAAAATAGTTTCACAGCAAGGACTTTCTTCATTTAATTCTAGCATATAGGTAAGGGGTCAAAGCTAATGATTACTGTTGCACTTCATTTCAGTGTAGGAGACCTATCGGAGTAATATTTAAGTGTCTGACTAGAAAGAAGATAGAAAACACAGAATTTCACCCCTTCAGAAACATTGGTCATTGGAACATAGGTGAGCCACCAGAAAATACTCAGGAGAGTAGAAAAGGAGAAGGGTTTGAAGTTTGAAAAAAAAAAAAAATCCAGGAAGAAAAACCCACTAAAAAACGGCAGAGAGGGAACTCCAGAGAAGGAGAGGGACACTGTCGACACTCAAATAACAAGTAAAAACCAGCAGCCAAAATGACATTTTTCCCAGATGTCAGGTTTTCCATGAATGATGCAGATTGTAGTTCTTGCCGCGTGATGACAGGAGACAGACCTAAGGCTCCCTGTGATGGAGGGAGCACCTCTGAGCACCACCCCAAAGGATATTAGGAGCTTATCAACAGTGCACCGAATTATTTGCACCCGACAGCCTGGATGACTGCCTAGAAGGGTCAGAGGAGATGGATTTCTTCGCTCTGCCATTTCATCAGAGGGAGCATCTGTCCCCACAGGCTCCCCAGCTCTTCCCCTGGGAGCCAGCCATGTACTAGCATGACTCGGGCCCTGCAGAGATATTTCCTGTGACAAAGGAGAAACCCTTGTCATATGTGCACACAGTGCCATTTGGGCATTCAAATGTTGCCGTGCTATTTTGGGATGCAGAGAAGTGCCACTTCCTCCTCGGCAGTGTGGGAGAAGATGCACCGAGCCAGCAGTCCTCAGATTGCTTTTCTACATCCCCCTCACCATAAGTAGATTCTGGATTTAGGGTGCTCCTCCCACCTAAGAGTTGCTTTTGGTTTGGATGGGTGCAGGGGGAGCGCTGGCTGGAGCGCAACGGGGGATATGGCAGAGGGAGAAGGGGGCGAAGGAACCCCTGACAGCCAGGCTGAGAAAAGAAGTCCATAACTGCTGCAAGCCACAGAGCCAGACCAGCACTCCTCAGCAGGGACACCGGGACCAGAGACAACGGGAGAAGAAAGCTTTTCCAACAGCTTTCAGAACCCACGGATTGCCTCAGCCACGCTTCTGGGTGCTGCCTGTCTCCTCACCCGGAGGGAACTTTTTAAGCGCTTCACCTCTTGGCTCTGTTCCCAGGTCATCTTCTTGCCTTCCTCCCTCCCCTACTCATCTCTCAGCAGCTCCCCGGGGACAGGCCACCTTCCCTCACCGGGTGATGTATTTCCCAGGTCCCTAATGGAGCAACCGTTATCAGTTTGAGAATAGCCGTGCTAAAATGCCACGTCTTCTCCAAAGATCATGAACAGTAGCCCACAGCCCAAGGTCCGATTAATTAATTCAGATGTGTGGCTTTACTGAAGAAAATTGTTGCCTGGCAGTGAGAGAGCCAGGCAAGATAAGAAAAGCACACACAACAAAAAAAAAAAAAAAAAAAAGCCAAAAAAAAAAAAACCTGGAAATGAAATTGTTGACTCATATTAGTTATTAATTCAAGGCCTCAAGAGAAAACCACTAATGTGAAAGTTTGAAAACTGAGGAAAAAAAAAAACAGACGATAATTAGAAGACAGCAACTCAGCAAGACAGAGGATTAGCCTGCTCCAAGGAGCAACAAAGGCTGGTATTTTGGTATTTTCCCACATGACCAACACCTCTGTGGCCAACAAGAACACGTCACCCTGGGGTGCTGAGTCTTGCATGCTAGTCATGCTAGACCTAGCTGTTTTCTGGGAATAACCACTGTGGGCTCAAAAACCTGTATACCCCTCCTTGCAGTCCTCTGGGCATGGAAAAAGACACCCAAACGTTAGTGAACCAGTGGAGGAGGCTCACGGCCCAGGCGCTCGGGCGGCATTTAGGTGTGCCACTTCCTGGTCAGCGTGCTGGTGTTAGGAAATCCACGTGCTTAATCTTAATTATTGAGAAAAGCTCAGTACTGAATCTCGGAGGCTAACTGTCCTGCATTAATTTCACAGTTCAGACGAGCCAGTGTTTGCATGTATTCGCTTCAAGCACTACTGCAAATAGCAGGCTGTTTTCTTGATAGAAAAAAAAACCCTTCCATCCGCTTTCTCTCAGCATCTCGGCATGGTAGACATTTCCACAAGCTACTGCGTGGCTGTAGCCTCCCTTCTTGCAGCAAGGCAAGCTATGGCTTTGATTCTGCTGCTACTGTTTTTTTCCTCATTTAGATCATTTGATATGGGTGTATGTTTTACGATATAGGTGCCCAGGCTCGAAAGGGAAGAGCACTGTCACATCCCACTACATTGTCAGCAACCACTCGGCCACACTCCCATTGCAAAGGCAAAAGGAAGAATGGGCTCATGCTTGGTGGCTCCCCATGACTTGTGCAGGGTAGTTTATATGCACAGTGGTTCTCTCAGCCATTCCCACAGCAGGAAGAATTGGCATGGGTATAGAAACCTGCAGAAAGAACCAGCCTCTACCCAAAATGTGTCTTTCTCCTAAGCCCAGCAGTAGTCCTGGGTGCAGTGCAGTATTAGTGAAGTATACTTCTGGCTCGTGAGCTAAAATCTTTGTTTTCCTACTTGATACTGCAGCTGGCATATTTCCTTCTCCCTACACTTCTGACTAATGCCCATCTCAAAATCCAGCTGGCTTTTTGAGGAGAGGAAGCTCTGACAACAGTGGCTAAAAGCCTTCCCTGCTCTGACCTGGCAGGTGTTGCGGCACCTATCATTGTCCTTCAGCTCAGAGTGAGGCAGAATAAGTTAAAAGGAGGGAGAAAAAAAATAAAAAAAAAAAAAAAGAGGAAAAAAAAAAAAAAAAAGAGAACAAAACAAACAGACAACACAATAATTTATTTAAGGACCAGTAGAGGGAAGTCTCCCAAATATTAATTTTGGGGGTTGGCAAAACTGAAGTCAGCCAAACAGAGTCCAAAAGAAACATTAAGGTAGAGAATTATTCTGTTTCAGCTACTGGCTAAATCACAGAGAGGAAGGAACTTCAGGCGTTCTCACTGTTCTGTTGCTGAAGTAGCAATTAACTGCCTTTCACAGTGCTATTAGGCAGTCAGCCTCATTCCAAGGGAAGATGTCTCAAGACAAAAGATTTAAAAATACTCTTTTGTTTGCAGGTTCCTTTTAAAAAGTGTTGTTTTGTTCTGTTTCTCTTTTTTTAAGTCACATTTATTTGACAAAGGAACCTCATAATTTCACTGAGTTTAAGATTAGATCATTAAACCTGAGACACCACTATTTGTTAGTCGTCCATGACTCTCAACTACAAGATCGCATTGCAGCAGTGGTTATCATTAAAATCAACATGAAAATACTCTTATTCATTAAAACTAGAGATAGTATGATGTTCACTGAAGACCTCTGCAGTTTTTACATAGGAAGACTTGCCCTGAGGGTTGACACTACCTACAATATTTGCTGGACATCTCCTATAGCCAGAAAATGGTTTTAGGCACTTCAAACATAGTGACAGCTAAGCAGAAGGGATTCCTGTTCTTGGATCTCATTCTGACAGTGTAGCAACCCTAATAACTTTTGTGCACAAGTCAGTTGTCAGGATACCAGTAACCATGATCTTCATACATCCAGGATAAACACAGCGCTGTGCTAGCTAGCAGTAGAACTGCAAGAGGGACTGACCCCTTCTGAGTAAGTATTTAAGGAGCAAACACTATCAAAGAAATCTTTAAGGCAGATGTATGTCAAAGAGACCCCAAATGCAGAAGTAGAATGGCTGAAATAAACAGAAATGTCGTTAAGTCAGTCTAGTAATTGTCTCGCATCCCTGGTACCTCATCTGCTAAGGACCAGAAACACGACTTCCAATTCCACCCGAGTTAGTTAGCATTCCTGTCAGCTGCTTTGCATGAACTCAGACCAAATTAAACGCAAGCATTTTAGTCATCACTTTATGTTGGGTTTCATGACCTACAACAGATCATTAAACCTATGACATAATAGGCATCTTAACTACTATGAAAATCTACATTTCGGCATAGATATTGCCAGAATTTAGAGAAGATAAATGAATTTCCCTAGACAATGACAACGCCTTCCTGACATTGCCTAAGATCTTCGTGTTACATTTAATATAAATATAGTGTTATCTTATTAAAAGGTGCAGATAGGCATGTGTGATGATTGTGGGATAACACTGACCGTCTGTTGAGCACAGTGAGACCAACCTGGTGCCACTGGGTTTCCTTCTAGCTTAGGCAAGTAACTACCACAGCTGCCTTTCATTACAACTCTCAAACCAGCTGTTTTAAATACTAAATATTAAATACTAAAGTAGCTGGCTCTGCAGCTGCTCTGATATGGAGCAGAGGAACTTTGTGGAAAGCCTCCTTCTACCATGCACTGTCTTGTAGAGTCTCCCTAGGAATGGTTTGCATCAGCCCATTACCATTTCTCCTGCTAGGACCCTGTTTAAGCCCATTACCTGGGAATCCCAGCTTCTCAGTGCTTTTCTCCCAGAACAGATAGGCTGCTTCTTTGTGACCTCGGGGGCAATGGTGAGTGAAGTCGGAGATGTAGCTTTGCTGCTGAGAAGGCACGTATTTAGTAGGTAGAATGTATTACCAGGACAGTGGCATGTTGTAAACACCTAGAATTGAGTAACTGGGTCCCAGGAGCTCAATGGCTTACAGTTTGCAAATGCGTGGGCAGTTGAAAGTGAAGCTTCAGGAGGAAAGTAGTTAAATATGGCCATTCTCATGATGAAGTCGGTACCCTATTGTTCAGTTTGAGGACAGAAAATTCCAGTTCAGATACATTGCAAGGCATTTAAAGTCTTCCAACAATACTGTCTTGAAATCCCATTCAAAAGCACCCAGATAAAAATAAACTTTACAATGAAACTCAGGCTTTGGTGTACAGAATGCACTCAACCTTACAAAGATTGATCTCTAATCAGGCAGCTTACTGCTATATTCCCTGAGGTGTCTGCTAGAAAAGATGATTTTCTGAGGAACAACATAGTAGAAAATCCACATATATATATATAGTTGGAACTACTTAGCAAATCTTATGAGAGAGTTTACTCGAGTAGTAGGAGTGCTTACGATGGTCTTCACTTGAGAGAATTTGAGTCGCCAAGTCTCCAAGGTGTACCCTAAAACTTGGTGTCCACTCATTGAAGCTGACCAGCTTAACGGGAAGAGACTACCACCACGGGTGATTCAATGACTACTACACACCAGTTTGGTATGCAGCTTATGAAGTGATGTAGATCACCATGTCAAAGCTTACAATAGCATCTCTAAGTCTGAAATATGGTCCCGAACTCCCTTTAACTCAAGCAGAAGATTAATGTGGCTAATTAACAGCCAAGGTATGGGAAAGACATGTAAATTCTTTGCATGCAAGATTGTGACCGAGCCTGCTTTTTTTAAAGATGATTGTGATGACCGTGCCTTCATTGAAAGACTTGTTCTGAAGGTTCATGCTAAAATACTACCGTGTGCTAGGCTTTCACCACCCTTCTAACATACGAAGGCATAGAGCTGCATGTACATATTAGTCACATTAAGTCATAGCCA